GATTTGATTTTGTTCTACAGTTGTTGAATTCGAATTAGTCATTCGAAATAGTCCAATTTGTTTCTTAAGTTCTTGATAAGCTTTGTCGAAACCAAGTTTCGGAAAATCAATGTAGATAAGTGCTGATGTTAATACTCCAAGCCATCCATCAGCTTTATAGTTGGCTGTCATCAATAATGGAATAATATGACATCGACATTTAACTGCATAACTAGCTTCCATTTCACAAAAAGGACTTTGTTTGTAAGCATCAGACATACAAACAAGTACAAATTCTGAATTTTCGATAGCTTTAGCCATTGCATCAAATGTAGCATCATGCATCAATTGAGAATCAATCCAAACATGTAATTGATCTTTTTCGAGAAAGCTTAGAATGCGATGACAAAGTTCTTTATCATTATGTGAGTAGCTTATCATGATATCATATTGTTTTTTAGTTACCATCAATGAAGAAATTGAAGAAGATTGATCTTGAACTATTTTGATTGTTGTTTCTGGTTCTTTTTCTAATTTCCATATTAATGCAGTAGCTACTAGTTGTAAATCTTGTTGTGATGATGAAGTTAATGTTCGAATATGATCCATGAAAATGTTATTGTCTTTTAAGATAGTAGCAAAATCTTTGTTGAAAGCCAATGCAAGAAGAATTTGAAGTGCAGGAAGTTTTGTTTTGAGTGAATTGAATTGATCTTCGAGAGCACATCGAAGAAAAAGAGAATGCCCTTGTTGTTCGATTAATTCTTCACGAATTTGATCATGCTGTGTTAATACTAAATAGAGAAAAATAAACAATGAGCTGGTGAATGAGTATATCATAAAATATTTCAAGTGAAATTCATTGGTAAATTTCTAATTTTCAAGTAATCAGTTGCTCAAGTTATAGAATCAATATGATCATTTCTACGAATTTTTGTTCTCATTAGTTGTTTCCTAACATATTGTTTGAATGAAAATTCGTTATGAAGATGAAATGTTCATCTATCGAAATGAAAAAATTTTGTTTTTCTAACTGTCATTATTCTTGAGAGAAGTCAACTAAAACTAACCTTTAAGACTTCGAAGACTATTGTGTAAGCGAGCTTCATACGGAACGCCACCATCAATAGCATCTTTAATAAAATTAATAAAAACACTAGTAATTCTATTTGAATTTTGCAGTTGTTTGATGTCTGTTTCTGTCATAATGACTGCTAGAATTCGATAGGCTTGTAAATGAATTTCATCATCATTATCGGATGTTAGTATAAGTGCATTCATAAGATCAACTAACTGAAGACTTTTAAGATAAATAACAAGTTCATTATCCAAAGTAAAATAGAAAAGAATTAAAAGAAGTCCTCGAACAAGAGGTATAGCAGCTGGATCAATGATAATTGGATTCGATTTGTTGATGTTCACTATAATACGTTTGATAGTATTTATGATTTGTCGAAATGCATGACGCGTGTCATTGCTCGTAGTAAGATTATCGAGATCCATTCGAAAGAATAAGTTAGTCGCATGTAGCATAAGATCATTCATAACTGAACTCCATTTTAAATACGGTGGCAAACCAGTATATTGTTTGCCTAACCAATTATTGAACCATTTGAGATGAGTACGTCGAATTCGTTCAATTATTTCTTGGCGTTTATCTCCTTGATACCAAGTGATCTCGTTTGGATAATAGACGAGTATAGTACGTTGTTCGTTTGAAAGATATTGAGGTTGTTCTTTAGCCACTTTCTGAAACATTTGTGTATATAAAGAAGAACAAATTTGATCAACGGCCCGAACGATTTCAATTGTAAACGCTGTGGAATTTTCAGCCATTGTTAGGAACGTTTATGTCTTACGGTTTTTTAACCTGTAATGTTGCCACGCAAAAAAGAAAAGAGAAAAAAAGAACTCTTATTTTTCTTTTTACGTTGATGCGGAGATGATGAAGCAGAAAATCAGGAGAAAGAAAAGACCAACGTATCATGATAAAAAAAAAAAGCTACAGCTAAGATAGAATGTCAATTCCATCTTCAATGTTGTGTGTCGGGCAGAAGTTATGAGATGAGGTTAAGAAAAGAAAAATTTTATCTTCCACTACACTGAATACAAACAAATGCATTAGAGAAAAATCAAAACAATCGTTTCTCTACAAGATAAACTCGATCAAACTAGTTGTACAGAAAATGTCTTACAACTAAATTTAGCAGTTAATACAAACCTTTTTAAAGATAAAAAAAAAATCTTTAACTTATCAAGGTTAAGTCATCTCTTTTTTGGCAATAATATACGTAACTATTTTAACCGAGTACAATCTTAACAGAATTTATCTGTCGAATGCAATAGTAATGTCAAGTTTATTCCTCGTTTCCAATTAGAGCAGATTAGCAAAACTCATTGGAGAAATGATTATTATCTAATCACGCAAGAAACACATACTGTGAACGCAATTTTCTAATGCTTATATCATATTTAAGACATTATTTACTTCTATTAAAATGAAAAGATTAGATAATTTGCGACAAGCATTAATTTTCGAGCTTCAATTGTATATAATGATAATTAATGAAAAAAAAAGTATAATTCAAGACTACTAGAATATTCACTGAGTTAAAATATGATTCATTTGTCTAATATACGAGCTAACTTTCATTAAAGAAAGTGTGAAAAATATTCTGGATTTTATTTAAAAAAAAAATAGCAAAAAAAGATTTAAAAACTTGTTACATTTTCATCAGATCTTTCATCAAAAAGTTCTTTTAGAATTTTTTTTCGTTTAATCGATTCAATATATGCTTTATTTTCTATCACATCTTGATGATCAGGTGGTAATGTTTTTAAAAATTGTTCAGTTGATTTTTCTATACTCTCTATAGCTTCATCGAATTTCTCTTGAACTGAATAAACAAGTGCTATATTAAAAAGTGTTGTACCAACTAATGAATGACTTTCGGGCAAAGATATTGATGCAATTTCAAGACTTTTAGTATAACATTTTAATGCTTCTGAATATTGTTCTTCTCGATAATACATTAAACCAATATTATTATAAAGTAATGCAAATGTTGGATGAGTTGATGGTAAATATTCTTGTTGACATTCTAAAGCAAGTTTTAAATAAACTAATGCTTCACGAGATTGACCAATTTTTAAATAAACATTTCCAATATTATGATAAGAAGAACCTAATATACTAGGATTACGTGGTACAAAACGTTCTTGAATTTCAATTGATTTTTTATAACAATTTATAGCCTCGTTATATTTAAGTTGTATAAGATATGTATCACCCATATTTTCATAACTTAATGCAGATTCTATATCATGTGGTTCAGTTACTTGTTCAAGAATTTTTAAAGTACGTTGAAATGATTTAATAGCATCAGCATATTTTCCTTGTCTTGATAAAATAATGCCTATATTATTTGTAAAATTACTAATAGTAGCGAAATCTGGAGTGTTTGAACAAAGTTGTACATCAAGTGCTTTTTTATAATATTCATGAGATTTTTCAAAATCATCTAGACGTAAATACATTCCAGCAATATTACCGTAAAGTGGAGTTAATTCAAAAGCGTTCGGTGAAATAAATCGACGAAATGCATCCAATGAAAGAAGATATAATTCAAGAGCACGTTTATAATCATCTTGATTACGACGTGATGTTGCAAGTACAAGGCAACCAGCAGCTATTGAGGTCTGAGTATTTGTATCTTCTTTTAAAGTATCATCATTAAATATTGTTTCAAGCAGATGTTCAGCTAATGTGAGTTGTTTCATTGCAATCATTAATTTTATTAGAGTAACTAATTGAGAAAAACTTTTAATTTCTGCTCGCTTAGTCTCAAGTATTTGTTGAATATTTTGTTCATTTTCACATTTAACTAATTTTAAATGAATAGAAGCAATCTGATTGTCATTAATATTTTCTTTTTTAACTTTAATTAAACGCCCCATAACACCCATATTTAATAAAACATCATTATCATTATTAATGGAATATCGATTTGAACTTATATTAGCACATTTAAAATTTTCTGGTATATCAATATGAATAATAATTGGTATATAATCTTTGGATAAAACTGGAATTTCTTTAGCAACACGAATAGCTCGTATTTGATCCGTTGAACCAAATAAAAATTGAGGAAATATAATCAGATCATTATTTAAAATATTTCTTTGTAAATCATCAAGATCATTTCTTTGTATTGTTTGTCCAAGATAAACTGTTATTGAATCTTTTACTGATTCATTTTCTATTTGTTGAAATAAATCTTGAACAAATGAACGAAGTTTATATAAAATATCACCTTCAGAAGTACGAAGAGCTTTATTTAACATCTAAAAATAACTGATTTTTTTTTTCTATCTTTAGTTACTTGTAAATAAATAAATTTACTTTTGATAGAAAACATCGTCTTGTAAACCAATAGATTGCTTGATTTTTTTTATAATTTTTTTCGAATTCATTGATTATGTTTAATTCTTCATCATTACCATCGTATTCTTGACGTGAAAAATTAATTAGTTCTTGTAAATCATTTTGACTTTCATTTTTATCAAGAATTATTTCACTTAATAATTTACCATATATATAAGTTTCATCAAGTTGAGCTGAATTCGATGATAAATTTATATAGATTATCAAATCATGTATTATTTTTTGTATATCCTTTGATATTTGTTCATATATATCGTTTAAATTTTTATATACACCTTTAACTTTTAATTGTTGCCATGATGAATTAATTTCATCATCATTTTCACATAAAATATACATAGTAAATATTTGTTGAAGTCCTTCAATTCTTGGAAGAATTGAATTACAAAGTGAATTTGAAAGAATAAAAATAATTTTTTCATTGAACACACCATTCATAAATGCAATACAATCATCAATATCATTGAAAGTTTTTACGAAATTGACGAGACTTCGAAGCTTTTTTATTATAGATTCTTCAGGATGTGAAGCATGTAAGTAAACGAGAGTAAAATATTCGACATTGCCTTTCTCTCGAGATACACTACCAAATGAGACTTGTGGACTTTCGATTTGTTGTTCTAATTAGAAAATAAAATAAAAGAAGCAGATATATAAGGAAATATAGTGAAATTTTCCATTGAAAATAAAGCGGATTGAATCGATTCGTAAGAAAATGATTTTTTGTATTATTTATGTATTTTTCTTTTTACAGTAGACTGTTTTGATTTTTATTCAATATTTATGAATCTTAATCATATATATTACATTTTATGAAACACGATCTATAAGGACTGTTGAATTATGTAGGGTAGCAATAATCATCTCTCCATTAAAACTGTGATAGACATAAATCAGAGACCGTCATAAATCGTGATTAGAGTTGTATGGGGCCAATTATTTTTAGTAGTGATTTCGATCTAAGGAAAACTATTCTAAAATACATTCGTATCAAATTCTAAATAACTCTTCAATATTCAGCTTTGTTTTTATTTAATTGATGACTAGCACTTTTTAGAATTATCTCTCTTGAATTATGTTGTGATTCATATTATTTATAATATGATTTGCTTAAAACTATGGAATATTTTACCATATATTTGAGCTCTGATTGAGGCAAATTTTATCTCATAACTCTGGTCCCGACCTAGGTAAACTTTTATTTTTTTTGGTCTCGTACAGTGCTAACTGAGACAGATGCTAGTCACATATCATTACAGACCGTATATCAATAACGTTTCATCATAATATATGAACTACTACCTTATGGAAGATCTAGAGGACTAACAAAAAGGATAGTAAAGATATGTGTTCTAAAAAGGATAAAATATAATAATATCGCTGTAATTAGCAACAGCAACTACATCATGTTTCACATTGTAATCCTGCAAAGACTGTGGTAATAGCTTTTATTAAAAGAAGATTATGCTTGACTGTAATTGAATAATCTTGAATTTCACAAGTACCTAAGATAAACGTGTATTTGATGATGTTAATAATATCAAAGTATGTTCAAACACTTGTTGAATTATCGCATTATCACTTATTGTTAATCTAGTTTTGTCGAAATTTGTGAATTGCGACTTAGTTAATAAATTTGAGCCAAGATGCTCTTAGATTGCTTTGCTGTGAAGATGATTTCAGTCTAGTAATATAGCAAATTATTATAGAGAAAACACGAGTATGGAATTCTGTTTAAAAGTCTTGTGTACGAAGAAGAAACAATCGAGACTTCGAACTTGAAGTCTTACAAAGACATAATGCCATAATTTTTAATAATCTATCGAAGTTTGATGATGATGTCTTATGAAGTTTCAAAAAGTCTTTGAAACTAGCGTGAAGTCTTTAAAACCTCTTGAAATCTCTCAGAGTCTTTCAAAATCTTTAAGTTTGCTGTTTCCTCCTTTGTCGTGTAGTCCAATGCAAAGCATTATGTGTTTGTCATTATCACTTTGATCAAAATTTCATTGATACATGAACGACATTTATAGTAGGACTTTTTTTCTTTTCTCAAGCTAGATTTAGGTGATTAAATTCATTTTTAATTCTACCATAATCGGAAAAGAAACTTGTCTAGTAAAATATTATTCTGAGTATTCTACAAACATACATACGTTGTATTAGTCCAAGTCGAGTAAGTAATAATTGAGTTGCCTCATTAACTATTGCCGTATCATTCGAATTCGAATTCGAAGTATTCAAATTTAATGAAGTCTCTCGTTCGTCTGAATTACTTTCAACATTTGGTGATAATGATAAAGAACATTGAGTAGTTCTATTTGGTAAATCAGATACACTTTCGTTTGAAACAACATTCGAATTTTCATGTTCATCTAAACAATAACGCATAATTTTCTTGAGAGATCATCGTTTTCAAACCTGAATCTTGCTTGATAATTAATAATGAATTGAACAAATTCTGGTTTGTTTGTTGAGGAATATTTGGTTGTGACGAATCAAGTGATTCACTGAGAGATAACATTGTTGATATTTGAGGAGGACCTTAGAAATAAAATTCTTTTTTTCTTATGAAACCCTTTATATTAAACACTTTCTCCAAAAAGGAAATTTTACGTTCTCTATTGTGTTATATTGATTCTCATAATTTTCAATTAAAATAGTTCTTCAAAAAACTAAAAATGGCTTTGAAGATCAAGGAAGCGGTTTGTTAAAGTTTTAAAAATCTTGAAACTGTTGATTTCAGTCTATTCAGGTTTTCAGCTAAAAATCTTGAAAACTAGACATTTTTTTGTACACTAATGGACAAAAGTCTCTGCTCTAGTTGAACTTAGTCACTACATATCATAGAGATTTGAAAACTTGTGTAAATGTACTTCGTCAAGAGTGTACATCATTAGCATTGTGTTACCGTTATTACTTAATTTCAAAAAGAGGGCTATGAAGGAGCGCACTTTTTTGTTGCTCTGAATATTATTGACTAAAAAGCACTAACTACCATGTGTTACGCTGTTTCTTACTAAAAATATGACTTATTCTTGATATTTTTATATGTAGCTAAAGTTCTGTCTACGGTCTTTCTTTGCTCAAAAGATTATTTTATTTGCTTGAGTATTGATATTTCTGAAACTTCAGAACTCACGAGATTATCACTCATGTTTCATTTCTATTGCATTTATGAGGCTGACAACAAAAATAGATGTCATTCATCAGTGCTCCTTTTTTATTGAAGCAGTAATAACAACGTAATGCCAATGGCCTACATTCATGGTGAAATATGTGTACACAAATTTTCATACCTTCAACATATATACCGGTCGAAATTATGTGAGATGAAAAATTTTGTGGACTACTGTAAATATACGGATTAAAGTTTCAACTTCAAAAGAGACTAATTTATAAAAAGGAATCTTACATAACATCAGGTGCACCTTTCTGGGATGACTGAGTTCAACGGTTCTAACAAAAAGTGGAATTAGAACCAATTTTTTAAAATTTCTTGGAACCGAAACCAAGGAAAAATCACTGTGAAACCGTTCAATCGTCCGATAGATATAAAAACTCTGAAATTTATATTGAGAAATCTTCATTGCTTCTATTCTTGAGATTAAAGATCTCACTGCATATATTTATAATCTTCTTTTGTTTAATTACTGACATATATGACATTTTTATTCACAACAAATTCAATGATGAAATTTTCTCAAAATATATAATTAAAATTTTTGTATCTATCTGATGGCTTAATGGTTCTGTTTCCATGTACTATTTTGAAATCCGAACAAGAAACGTTAAATTCTACTCCACGGTGACCTTTCAATACGGAGAGGAATTTACCATATATTGGTTTCAATGGTACTTCTGGACTCTCAGGTAAGGATTCAGGCAAATCTTCCGTAGACTGCTGTTTATCGTTCAATTGATGGTGTTTTTGCGTATGATGATTGGAACGTTTGATTAAATCAGAAGAAAAACCTTCACTTGCTGAAAATATAATTATTTTATTGACTAAGAAACAGTTATTTACAACTCACAAGTTTTATGATTAGATCTTGTTTGTGGAGTCAAGATTGTAGGTGATTCCGTCTAGAGAATCATTTTTATGCTTAATTATAAAAAATTATATATTTTAACCTTTAATTTTTGTTGATTGGATTGATCTAAATTTTATTTTTAAAATATTAAAAATTAGAACAAAATAATTACCTTCTGCTAATACTTTTGATGAAGGAGCTTTAATCTGTCACATAAGAAGAAAAAAAAATATTTATATATATATATATATTTTTTTTTTTTGAAAAGAAAAATAAATCTGATTTTACTTTTGTGAGAGAGTTTTGTCTTGAAAATGAATATGAAGTTAAACTAGATGATGTTGACTAAATTAAATTAAAAAAATCTAATAAAAATGAAATTCAATCAAATTACTAACGTTATGATTATCGAGTTCACATCTAAATTTAAAATAAAATTAATAAAAAATTCAATTAAATTTTCTTAACTCGAAACATGGTTTGGATCCAAAAATGTCTTCAATTTGAAATAAATGATTAGATCGATTTTTACCAATTAATCCATGTTCACAACAAGCAATCATTTCATCTTCAAATAAACCATTTATATAAAATCTTAATTTTAATTTTGATTCATTTCGATAACGTTTTGATTTAAATGTTAATTGACCTTTTAATAGATAAGCATATATATATATTTACAAATATTTATATAAGAAAAAAAGTTACCTCCACATGCTAAACATCCTTTGAAAACTGTTCGATTATGTTGAAGAATTTCTATTTCATCAAAATGACTTCGTCCTGTATTTGGACTTTGATAGATTAATGTTACTAAACAAGATTCTGTTCGCTACAAAAAATCAAAGGATAAATATTTAATTATTCAAATAAGTAGAGAAAAGAACAAACTTGTTGATGATAATTTCTATATTCATTATCATCAGAATACGATCGATGCCTTCTTAATTCCTATTTATGTAATAAATAAATTATAGATTTATTCATAAATAAAAACGAACTTTAAGACAACAAATTAAATATTGATATTGTTCTTGAAGATCTTCTTCAATTTGTCTATCAAAATGAATAATTCTATTAGAAATATTTTGACAAATTAATTCTAACTTACAAGTCATTTAAATCCTCAATCAATCGACGTCGTTCACGTCGTAAACGATAACTCATCGTTTTCAATAAAGATAAATGCAACCAACTTCCTTTTCTTCAATGTATAAATATATGTTGATATACAAAACATTCAGTGCGTATTTATAAAAAAAACCAACATATGAGAAAAAGAACGCAAGAAAAAACGCAATGAAGCTTCTCTTTTTATTTGATATTTACTAGCAATACCTATTTTTGTTGTTGTTGTTGTTTTTTCTTCTTACGATTAATATTACGTGTAGAAACATGAAAAATGAGCGCTAATGAAAACTTTCGTGAAAGGATATGGCGCCATTTTTAATGATTTTTTTCTCGTTGTTAGTTTTTCTTTTGTTTAATTGTGAATGATGTGACAATATGAGATAACACAATCATACATTGGAGTTTTTCAATTTTAATTTAAAAAAAAATCAATATTCTTAGATCAAGGCCATTTCTGCGAGAAATACTCAAAAAAAGTCTAGTATTAGTAGTTTTTAATTAGCAAAGCTTGTTTTTTTTTTATTGAAAACAAGTATGATTCTCATTATTAACATACAAAAAGACACTCAAAATTCTATCTTTCATTGGAAAAGAATTCTAATCCAAATTGACCCGTAAGAGAAGGTACAGCCTAAAATTTTATAAATAAAACCTTAAACAATGAACAGAGCGAATATTTTAATTCGAGATATTTCTTGATGAAATATAGAAGTTGTGATGTATTTTTGCATGTTAATTTCGAAAATGATGCTTATTTCTAATGAAAACCTATGCTTGATAATCAAAGCCCAGAAATACTAAACATTTTTTTTTGAGTATTTCTTATAAAAGTGACCTTGTTCTAAGCATAATGAATTTTTTTTCTACTAAGACTGAAACGTTGAAGATTTAGGCTAGAATTTTGATGTCATAACATAATCTGCAATATAAACAATAATGAAACAAAAAAATGTTGACTGTAAGAATATATACGATTTTCTTTAATCATGTTCTGCAAACTTTCGATTAGCATACAGATCCTCTCTTATTAGAAGTTCAAATTATAGTTATAGATACCATCATTTTTTTAAATTAGTTCGATAGACTGTGTGAAAATATAATGATAATCAAAAGTTCACTGTTTAGCATTAATATAGCATTGTGAAGTTATAAATTACGATAATCTTTTTTATATACAAAAAAAAATAAATGTGAAACTGAGCACCTGTGAATGATAGAACAGTATTTCTTAATAAAGTCATTGTTTAAGATAACTTTATTTTTTATTTTCTAAGGAATGTGCAGATGTATGTTATAAGCGATTTATTCTGCTAACCAGGAAGCTACTCAAATTGTAATATGTTGTTTGAGTCAATATTGAACACACTTGCAGGTCTCAATAGGACTAGGAAAATCTTAAAAGACTTCGTCATCGGTCTCTGAAGTCGAGTTACGATCGTTGTATTGAATTTTTGACTCATTTTTACGTATTGACGCAAAACTAAAAAAAATTGAATTTCGAACTAAAATTATGCCCACAGATAGGTCTAATGATCCTTAGCATATCCTGAAAGTTTCAGCCGAAAATTATATTCTTTTGTCGTGATATTAGTTTTCCAACAAATAGTCGCTGGTCACAGACATGTAACAAAATTTTGTGTTATCTGTAAATTCAATATTTCGACAAAGAAACATTCGGTTGTGACACGTGTGTAAGATGTACCATAAGACAAATTTACTACAGGTATAATTTATATATTCTCGTTCTCTTTCTTTCTGTACATATATATGTTATTAATTATAATTATCTTTTTTCTTTCGTTCTATCAGGTATTTTCTCAGTGTGTTCTCTTGGTTTCTTCCTTTACTGTCTTTCTTGTTTCGATAAAATAACTTATTTATATTTTTATCTGTATTCTGTTATTTATTGGTATATTCCACCTTGTCGCAAACACATGACACATATACGTATATATATATATACCGGTTGTTTCTATATGAAGATCATCTGATTTAAACTTCATAAATCAACATCTATACACAATGATATTATCGGATATAACACATTCTTGTCGGCTGAAAGTTTTAGACACATGCCAAGCGTCATTAGGCCTACCTATAGACGAAATTGCAGGTTGACATTCTTTTATGCTGTTTTCCCTTGTATGCATAAAAATGGATCAAAAATTCAGTAAAACAATCAAAACTCGACTTCAGAAGCTCATAAACAAAGCTTTGTAGGATTTTCCTAATCCCACCGAAACGTCCTCGTATGTTGAACATGAGTTTCAATGGCAAGTTACAGTTCGGATTGTTCCTTCGTACGACTAAAAAAGTCCAAGTTCTCGTGTGGTAATCTTACATCCTCAAGACATGCACAACAAAAAATACTTAAAAGAAAAAAAACAGTGGGAGGGGTATAAACGCCAATTCTTTTCGAAAATTAACATATAAGCTCCGTTTTCATTTATTTGTTTTAGAAATATATTGTTCAAAAACTTCTTTTGATCCATCATAGAAATCATTGAGTTAAATAGACAAAAATGTTATTCATATGTATCTTATAATGATATAGTTATCATTAGTTTTTTCTACCAACAAGGGTATTCGAAACAAAGCGGAAAATCTCAAAAAGAAGTGTTCAACTCCTCCCTGAATTTAAGCAAAATTTAGGAAAATTTTCTAGTCAGTCTCTTCAGCTATGAAACCCTATCTCATTGTAGCGACCTCGGAACACTCCTATGTACCGATATTGAAAAGCAAAATTTCAGAAAATATAACCTAAGACAATTCCTTATAGATGAGCCATATTTTAATAAGCATTTGATTAACAGTATATTTCTTTTTCAATGAAAATCTCAAGACTGATATAAATTAAATTCAAATAATATATAGTTATTTTCTCTCTACTTTGCTTTCTACATACAGGTACAAAGTAGTAAAATACTATTAAATAGGGATAGATTCCAGAATTTCTTTTGACAAGATGATCATCTTGAAGAAAAAGTACGTTTTATCTGGTAAAGATAGTTTTATTTTTACTTACTGTAAGTATTTCAATTTCTCAGAGGAGGATGCATCACAATTCGGACTTCACTCTCGATAAATAATTGCTACTACGATGATCTTAAACAAGGCATAAGAATGCTGTACAGTTCTGCATAATTACTATGGAACCTTCGCTGTTTTTCAGCCGATATGTAACTAATAATTTTACTGCAGGTAAATTTTGTAAATTAATCACCTTCAAGTTTGTGATTTTTTATTTTCTGATTTAACTTTTCTATTCTTTAAGATTTACTCATAAAAGCTGTTATTTTGTCACTCTATTTCACTTCTTAATCATACAATAATTAATAACACATGATACTGATTCAACTTGAATGCTGGACATTCACAAACATATTAAATAGGATTCATTTTCTACTCAATAACAGTTGCATCAACATTGGATGCTAAAGCCATGTTTTTACCACTGAATTATTACTCTTTGTTATTAGTGCATATTGTCATTCCTTTTTTATAGTTCTTTTTAGTGTTTTATGTTGAGAAACATAATCTAAAAGACGTACTGAAATATAGAAGTAAAAATGTAAACTTTCCTCTCTCTGACACACTGTGACAGACGACTGAAGAACGTCTTCTCTCTTCGTCACAGATGTTGATGATGTATGATCAATGGTCGTATATCAAAAAAGTGTCTTTATAATAAATGAACTACTTCCGTATTGCATTACTGAAGAATAAATTGAAGCGATGGTGAGCAAATATCTTCCAAAATAGATAGAATAAAGCAATCTTTTTCGATGAGTAACAGGACTTACATTGTGTTTCATCTTTTAATACTGCAGGGATTGTACTAGCAATTTTAACTTCGAAAACGGCAGTTTAGGAATGTTATTCAGTTGCTATCTGATTCAAGCAAAGATATCTAGCATGTCATTAAAAATCATTCTATTAGCCTCATTACTCTGATTACATTAATCTGTGATATAGAACGACATAGCTTGCTCAATTTCGTAGGAAAGTCTGTTCCATAATCGTATTTTTCTACCTAATATTAAAGGTGAGCATTAAATTTCACAGAAGAAAAGTTAGACCTGCTAAGTATGCTACTTTTCATCGTAGCATAAAGATTTTTCTTTCGTTCTTCGTGACAGATAAGAAGTACAAGTAGCTGTTGCTAGAATCTCTTTCGCTATATCTCATGTTTTGATTCCGCTAGCATTTTTTTTTGTCTTTCTATCAATCAACACGTCTACAATTAACTAGTATGATCCAGTGAACAATTCATTATTTTATTTAATATGAAAATATGACGATACGAAACTATTTATAGTTGGCGCTAATTTTCAGTCAACTGAACAGAAAAAAATAAATTAAAATCATTTCTTCAATGTCAAATCTGTTTATTTGATAATAATCATACTGTTGCTGTTTTCTACTATATAAATGTCATATATGCACATAAAGAGAAATAACGTTCAGTTATGCAAATTTCAAGAGAATATTAAAATTTATTCCAAAAAGCTCGATAAGCTTTTTTTGTATAATCTTTGACAGATCATGCTGGTTTTAACTGTGACAGTGGCTAAAGATAGCCAAGCTACCCTCAATTACACACCTCGTGTGGACCCTCAACCCTTGTTAATTTATCATTCATTATCTTAAAACTATTGTTCTATTCTATACGAAAATACTAGATCGAAATAATGTTATTAAAAATTACTATTAATCGTTTGTTTTCAAATGATTATACTTCTCTTTTCTAAAGTGATTCAGAACAGAGTTTATACCAATGAATTCATAGAGAATCATTTGGGAAGTTTTCAATATGGTTACAAATTGCTTCTCTTTCTCATCGTTTCTTTAGAATGAAGAGAGATGTTGAATCTCTAGTTTGATCGTCTGTTTATGGTACCAGAGGATGTAACATTTCCATTCCTTCTGCAAGGATTATTCATACCTTAATACATTCGTCCCAATGAGACCCACCAGTGGATTCCATCATGGCTAATCTATGGGACTGAATTGCCTCCAATATAACACATTGTTCTTAAAAACTAATCAATTAGTCTATCTTGTGCAGGTTTAAACGCTCTTTCCTATGATATATTTAAAAATTAATTTCGATCTTTTTATGGTGAAGAAAAATGATGTTTGCTAAAGATCTGCACTAACATATGCGTACGTTCTAAATTCAGGCATTTTTCAAGGTATTTTTACGATGAAAAGTACTCCATTGTGTAGTGCATTTTTTTTTCTAGAGAATCATATATGTTAAATAAAAGAATTCATGTAAGAATAGAAATAGAATGTGACAAGAAATAAACAGACGTATACATGGTTTTAATCCCAAAAAATGAGCAGTTTTGACGAGAAAAATTGTTACAATTCGATATATGGATCTAAGAAGATGACTTTTATAGGAGATACACTTCACACTGAGGGCTATCTAACGATGACATCAGACAGTTTTAAACACATTTACAGCGGTGTGATCCATCAGTGAGTCACATCGCCGATCTGTGATATCAAATTGCGTCGAATGTGTTAAAATAGCCTTGTCTTCATATGTGGATTAAGAATTTTAATTATTTTATTCTTTAATACATTAAAGAAATTATTAGAAAACTTCAGATAGTTGTTTATTTGATCTAGTTTTAGTTCAAAGTTCTTAGGATAATATATCAATGATGATTCATTAAAAAATAACTTTTTTTTGTTATAACGTTTATGATCTTTCTGGAATAGAGTTATAAGCATCAATGTTTTAGGATTTTCTTAGTGTCGCAAAGCCGTCCTTGTTGGCGAAATTTGAAGTTTGAAGTTTGAAATCAATTAGAATTACTCATTGGTAAGAATGCATGGGTCGGCTTGTTAGTAACGAACATATATATATATAAGAAGCTGCCTCTAAGAACAACATTGTACATACAGATGATTAGCTTCACATTGTTCTTTTTAAACCGAAGCACTCCATAGAACTTCGCCGTTATGGCTCACTAAATGAGTATGCTCTGTACTGTATATTACACACATGCTTTTTTGTATTAGCAATTCGATAATAGTATTTGTCTCAATACCGTCATTTTATGAAAAAGTGACAAGTTGTATCAAACAATATAATGGTGTCTTATATATCAGTCCTTAGGAATATCTGACTAAGCAATCAAATATTTGCTTTCTCGAGTTTATTCGAATTGATTTTTTTAGTAGGCTAGATTATTTGATATTGTGCAATTTACTTTTGATATAAACTAATCTTTGATTATAGTAGAACTAAAATACATGCAGCTTATATATTGTTCTTAAAATAAAATTGATAGAAGCTTATTCTAAACGATTAGGATATTAGTTTCTTTTTTTTTTGAAAGATAATTGTATTTCTCCCATTAAATAAATCGTTGAATCCATTTTTCAACTACTTGATTGACTTTCTCTGGATTTTCTTCCATAACCCAATGACTAGTTTCTAATTCGATCGTTTCCAAATCATCAATATACTTCTTTTGATCGACAAAAAATTGTGAAAGACATATATAGTCTTTCGTACCAGCAATATAAAGAACTGGTTGTTTTATTGTAGGATCAAGATGTTTTTCATCATCCCAGTCAATATTTGCCATAGCTGATTTATACCAATTTAGTTTTGGCTGCATACCTTCAATAATACATTTATGTATGATTTCATAATCTTTAGTCGTGAAATATGAAGCTCGAGTTGTCGTTTTTTGATTTGTTAACCATTCTCGAACTTTACCAAGTGGAGCTACATCTGTTTTCCACAATATTGGCTCGCTTGTATAACAAAGATCGATGAAACAATCCGCATTATCTTCGATAATTTTCGCTGCATCATCAGAATTAAAAAATTCCCAATAGCCAAAAAGTTCATAGCCGAACGCTTTCTTAGTCAATAATAACATTTGCTCAAAATCGAACTTCGCCGGTGGAAAATAACCAAGATTAAATAAAATAAGACCTAATGTACGTTGGGGATGATATAAAACAAATCGAGTTGCCGGTCGAACACCCCAATCATGTCCAAGAACAATAACTTTATTTACATTTAAATGATCGAGGAGTGTTATAAGGTGTTGAACCATTGTTTTAGTTTTGTATTCATTTGCATCCAGCGGAGAATATGTTTTACCGTAGCCCATTAAATTGGGTGCTAAACAGCCATATCCTTGCTTAGAGAAATACTCAATTTGATGACGCCAACAATAGAATGATGATGGAAAACCATGAAGAAATAATAAGGTTGGATGTGAATTATCTTTTGTCTTAATATAAATATATTCATAATTAATACCGTCGGCAACTGCGTAATTGTGTGATTCAAACATAATATTTACGTGATCGAGCGAACCTAATAATAACAAAAACAATCTACCAAGGACTAATTGTAATGGGAGTATAGTATGTCCTTTTTTAGTCTTGCATAAACCCTGCACCAATAAAAAATGTGTCTTCGTTTGTATCTTGTGTATTTTGTTCTATATTTGTCTTGTTATTTTTTCGTTCTAATATCGTTGATTGCCTATGGAATTTTATGCTCTACATAGTAAATGTATTGTTTGTTGCTGACATCTATGTAAATTTTTATCTAAATCGCAAGAATCCAGCGGTGTCCTAATACTTATACGTTGGGTAACAACAAGCTACATATCACGATATTCAAACGAACAACTATCTCATTATAGTTATCATTTACAAAATAAACCTATAGTTCAAGATTTTGAGTGAATTAGATGCATCAATACCCTCACTCTCACTATATACTATCAAAAATTGAGATTGAGGGTAAGAATATTCTTGTAAATGCACTCATAATTGTCAAGCTCTGAAATACATCGTGGTTCATTCGGTGCATTGAAGTTAACCAAATACTCATGATATGAATCTTGACATTCAGGTCACCCATACTATGACAGTTGCTAAGAAGCATATCGCGAGAGTAGAATATTTATGAAGAACTTTTAAAATATAAATAGTTGTGAATAATAATCAAACTGGCGAACGTATGATTATATCAGATGCGTAATACACTTGTTTATATTTGTTCTCTGTTGAATGTGATTTAAGTTAGGCTTTCAACCTTGTTCACCTTCGTGAATCTTCTGACTTCAAGATACCTGGAAAATTACTGAGTTACGTATCTGCCATCAGAATTTTGGGTTATTTTAGTATCTTAGAGTATTTTTCGATCTATTAGCGATTGATTCTTGAATGCTCGTAGATATTCAATCGAAAGAATTTTTAAAAAATGTTCCATAATATGCTACAGAAGCTCGACAAGTAGTATAATGGATACCTGATTGGTATCCATACGTTGAGACAATTCTCAACAGGATACTCGAACATACTGATAGTAGAGTAACTCTTTGAGTATCTTGCTGAAAAACACTTCAGCATATGCATACTTTGAACTCACTAAATTCGCTAGGACATACATACTTTTTTATTATAAGGACGATTCAATTTGGATGTATTAATTTTCATTGATTTGTTACTCATATTACTATATATTTACAGTGTTTTTCTTAACCTCTAATAAGAAACTAATCTGAATAAAAAAGCAATACTCTCGTGAGTTACTCACCGAGTAGTCTAATCTAGGGGTAGTCATAAATGATTGGCTTAATGATTATTGTTATGATAATTTTGAAAATGTTAATGAAAAGAAAATCTTATTTATATAATGGAATCCATGAATCAGGAATATGGTTATACTTTTTCTTTTGTGCTTACAAAAGAGTAATTACAACTGCAGAAACTTACTATTACATCATTCAATAAATCATGGCTTATTTTTCATGTTACATTTAATATTTGAAGATATCCAAATGTTGCTGTTTTACACGGTGTTTGATAAGTTTCGATAGTGGATACAATAAGTCTATATGCAGGCCATGAATGATCTTTAATATAACCCATCTATATAAGACTTGAGTATTCATATTGACGTATGGAATCATACCTTATAGATTGACATATTCTCCTGTGATAATAGAAATATGAATATAAGAATGTGATTACTATTTTCTTCAAATGAAACAATAAGATTTATCTTCTTTTAATCAAATCCGCCCCTACTATTTTTACTCTTTGTAATCTCTTAGGGATTTAATCAATTATTTTTTCATAATCATTACAACTTATTCGTCTCGATTTTTTCTTCTATATTCCTTAAACATTTTCAATAAGTTTTATACTGACTATATAGTTTTAAAAGAAAAAGCATACGAAGAATACCTGGAAAATAGCAACGGTCGTTTTGCATACTTTGTGAGCATGTATTTCAGTTCATTTTACAAATGTTTCTTCGAAAAATACTTTGTGCTTGTTCATTTGGAAATTTTTTTCATGAAAAGTTTTGAATACACGACAACTGCAACTACTTTTTGGTTCCTGTCATGATTTATTTTATGTCAAAAGATTCCTAGACTTTATTTAAACAGTCTGAAAAGTAAGTTTCTGAGACAGTTTAGAAAAATTTATCATTATAGTTTTACCTTTATATTACTATTATATATAATCAGTATAATAAATTGGTTACTGGGTTTTAAAGTATATGTGAAGTATCCTTTCGATCTATTGATGATAACATTTTGAACACTGTAATTCTTTGTACTTTTTCAGAAGTAGATATGAAAAATTCCAATAAAATGAACTTTCTGTCTATTTCAAATACATAATCTATTTTCATGCAGCATGCACTTACAAAGGAATCATATATGAGAAGAAACTGATGATTCAATCAAAAGCTTATCTAACTCTTTTTTTAGAAATTTTCAGAAATTGAATATCTGAAGCAATAAAAGATTCTAACAGTAAGCTCTGTATGTTCTGTTGAGCTATTGTTGCTTTGTTCGTTATCAAAATATTAGTTGTAAAGGCAAAAAACATTGTTCATGTTAATTCACGCGTATCAAATCTAACAGAAAATAGTTGCAAACACATATTTCATTTTAACTAATTCACTTGTACTTTTCGTTGCGAATTAAATAAACCAAGCATGCATGATTAACGCTGAATTCAATAGATTACACAGAACGTTGAAAATAAAATTTTTCTCATTATTATAATTTTTTAGAAAAGATTTTTGTTTAACAGTATTTTCGTTTCTCTCAAATATGTCGAGTACAAACAGCATTTCAAACAATGACATAGACTCCATTGATAGCAATTAACAGCTATTTTACTTGACACAATTATGAGTTTTTCTTCTTTTAATTATTTCATCAATTATGTGTTCATTGTTTGGTTTATATCATTTTCTACTGGATCGAGCTATTCATGAAGCTCTCTATAATCATGTTATACCCGTTCTATTTACTATTGATCTTTTTACAACTGTACAAATATGTCGTGGTTTATTCATTTTTTTCATAATTTGAAAACATCTGTATCAACAACCTCCTTTCGTCTTATATGGGAATATATTGAATGGACATCTTTTTTTCTCCAATTTTAACTATACTTCGGTTACAATAGAAAGACATATTCTTATCTTTCATCATCAATTATTATCGACCGAAAAGGAACGGATTTTAGTTCATTATCTGCCATCAACTATTATAGCTGACAATTGAAATGTTACCTATCTCCTATGTTTATCTGCTTTTCCCATTTTCTTACATGTTTGTAACACTACTTCAACTATGTGAAATGTCATATTATACTGTAGTGAAGTTTTTATTACGTGCAGAATTCTTCCTTTATTATACCTTACTTCTTTTTCTAATAGTTGTTGTTGTATTATTACAGAAGTTAAGAGACAAAATCATGTAGACTGTACAGTTTCGATGGCAAACACGTATTATTCGTCCGACAACTAACGAGACGCCCGCAAATATGACAAAAAATCGTGTAGCTTTTCAATAAGAACTATGACAGATTGATGGATATATCTTTTAAATTGAAATAAACTTTCTTCCAACAATAATATTTTTACAATGCTTAACTTATAGAAGAATGAATTTTTTTTAGGACGAAGAATATGAATGCTAAGTGAGACATGTTTGAAATTGAATTTTCATTCTAAAAAGTGAAGAAAAACCTCGAGAAAATTGTTTTGTGTATTATCTCAATTGTGAATTCCATTCTTGAACAACACACAAAAAGATGTTTGCTAATGTTTAAAGAAAGACGAACTATTAAAATGTGGAAACAAATTAAATACTCGGTATTTTTTGTAAAGCCTCAGTATAGTTTATTGCTCAATAAAGAGTTAGCTTTTGCTTAGTATAAAATTTATTGCTCAGTAAACTAATATTTTGTATATGTGGATACTATTGGCAGGGAGGATGGGTTTGGCGACCCTAAAAAAACGGAACCGAGCTTTAAAAATACCTTGGAACTGAAGCTGTGGATAGACAAACATTGGATCGCTAAAGGAGGCGAAGGTGTTAAATCATGAAATAGATACAAATATTCTTAGCTATATGTAGAGAAACTTGATTTGTTTCATTCTTAAAATTAAAGACTTTAGTACACACGTAGAATATTGTTTTCGCTAATACTGAAATACGAGCATATTTAATCTCTAAAATTCAATAGTGACAATTTCTCAAAATATATTTCAAATTTTTGTCTCGGCCTAACAATTTTACGGTTCCGGTTGTACGTGATATTGTGAGAACCGAACCGAATATTTTTTTTTGTCATTTTTAGCTATCAGAATTACGGTTTCGGTTTCGGGTAATTTTTCGAACCGTTGAACTCTATTGGAAGGCCGCTAGCGACATTCAAACCTACAGCAACAGTCCTAAATACTGAGTCTTTTTAAACTGCTTACTGTGATAAGATTAACTTTTTACTAAGCAATAAACCATGCTGAGCATTAGACAAGATAATACTAAGCAATTATTATATCAATTTCTTTATAACCCTACGGATGAAAAGTTCGATAAGGATCTTTGCAGATATTTCAAGGAAGATTACATGTGTGCAAAAAAATATGTAGTTGTAAGAGGAAGAAAAGATATTATGAATATGCAATTCATCAAACTTAAGATAAACTATTTCTATTCAAGAGAATTTTACCATCGAAACGTATTTCTCGTCAGAAATATTCAATGAATTAGTTACAATTATGCATTAGAGTGAATAAGTATCCTTATGTTGAGTGAAATTTATCGAGTGTTCGCGAGCTCTGCTAAGCAAAAAATGTTGACAAACAGCTATAAAATCTTCTGATTACGCCACAAAATGTATCATTATTCGTTAGTAATAGCCAGATTCTGATATCTTGCTAGCAAATATTTAAAAGAATCAGTCATACAACACTTCGATCTTTGTTAATCTAGTAGTCATTGAATATATAAAAAAATCTGTAGTAAAA